AGGGAGGGGGGGGGGAGAGAGGGCAGCCGGCCGCAGGCAGACCCAGGGCGACCCCGCAGTCCCCGGCCGCCCTCCGGATGTCCCGCGTGCGTTATGGTTATTTTTCTTGCAGACTCACAGACGGCGACCCTCTCCCTTTGTCTCGAACGCACAGGCTCCGCGCACTCTGCCAGACTAACTCCGAAGCCCGGTACTGCCTGCCCTCCCCCCGGGCATCCCTCCCTCGCCCCCACCATCCCACTTTCACTGTCTCCAAGCAGCCCTTCCAAGTCGCTGCAAAGTTGCCCTGCTCCGAATTCTCCCTGGTCCCGGATTCCTGCCCTTCTTCCTTGTGCATGGTCTTTTTTTCATTTTTAAAAAAATCCCACTTTCGATGTCTCTTTTCCCCAGCCGTCCTCTTGACCCCGGGGCTCCCCCACCAGTGGGACAGAGGGAAGCCCCAAGCCCGGCTCCACCCCCTCCTTCTCCTCCTCCTCCTCCTCCTCCGTTTTTTTTTTAATGTTCCGATTGTTACACTGACCTGACCCGAATGCCGCCATCTGATTGGACGGAGCGCGGCACGAGGGCCCAGACCTCAACGCTCTCCCATTGGCCCGATCCCAGCCGGCGTTCCATGAAAGAAAGAAAAAACCATAAAAGAAAGGAGAGTGGGCAGGGAAAAGACGCGTTTGGCCGGGCGAAGGGAACCTCCCTCTGTGACGTCACCGCTTCTCGATTTACCCGCGGGTAACCCATGGGGTCGCGAAGAGTCGGACTCGACTGTGCGACTGAACAACAACAACAAACCCAGGACAACGAAGCTCACAAGCCTGCCGCCGCGGTGGAGGGAAGCCACGCCCACCCATAGCGACCGCCCATTCGTAGCCGGGCGCCCCGCCCATTTGCTGCTCAGGCCTTTGCGAAGCCGCGTCGCCCAGGAAAAAAAGTCTTCGTTGGGCCACGTCCCCGTGGCAAAGCCAGGCCTCCGGGCCGGGGCATTCTTTCTTCTCTCCCCCCCCCCCCCCCCCCAATTTTGACCCAGACAGGGTGCGTTTCAGACGTTGTAATGCGTGGGCAGCCTCCTTCTTCCCTTTGCTCTAGACTGGTTGCTCGAGCAAACTCTTGATCAGCGAATGTAACATTTTGAAAGATTTTCGTGTATGTGTGTAATCTTTTCAAGTAGAAATTAACATCTGATGGAGGAGACCCTTAGAGAAGGTATAGGCAATCTTATAATGAGGGAGCCTGAAGGGTATCCGGGGTTGGGAAATCAGTGCAGAAAAGCGAGAATCTGCGTATAGGGAGCCTAGTATGGTTAACGTCACTTTATTGTGGCAGAAAAGGAAGAATCTGGTAGCACCTTAAAGGCTAACAAAATATGCAGCAGGGGATGAGCTTTCGTGAGTCACGGCTCACTTCTTCAGACAGGGGTGGCGCCTACCCTGCCACATATTTTATTATTCTTTAAGGTGCTACTGGACTCTTGCTCTTTTGTGCTACTACGGACTAACATGGCTACACATCTTGATCTGTCTTATTGTATTCAGCATGAACAATGTGACATTTAACATTATAAAGGGGCTGTGACTCAGTAGGAGGACATCTGCTTTGCTTACAGAGGGTTCCGAGGTTTGATCGCTGGTATTTCCAAGTAAAGGGATCAGGTCATAGATTATGATTATAAAAATCATGCACGGCATGGAGAAAGTGAATGGGGAGAACCTTTCCTTCCTCTCTGTAATACTAGATGTTGGGAAGGGGCACAATTTATTTGCTTCTTTTATACCCCCCCCCCCCCGTTTCTCTGCAATGGGGACCCAAAGTGGATGACACTGTTCTCCTACATTTCATCCCTGGGAGTGTATCACTGGCCCAAAGTCACCCAGCAAGCTTCCAGAGCAGAGAGGAGATTCCAACCTGGATCTCAACAAAGCTGATGGCCAATGGAGTCAGGATGGAGAAAAAGGGATTATATTTGCTTCATTTTTATAACCCCCCCCCCCATGCTTTCCCATGCATCTCCCACAAGTAAAAGGACTGGACACTTACTTTTTAACTTTGAATGAAAACTGAATATTAAGGAAAGAGATCTGGAATATACCTGCAGGGGTCAGCCTCCCTGTCCCAGATTATATTCACAAGAAGATCACAGCAGCTACTTCTGTGACCCAGTAAGATGGAGTGCTTGTATTTTCTAGTCAATGACAGGATAATGTACGTCCCCCTTCAGGTATTTGACCACTAATATGAGAGGTAGTTATAGGGAGCTTTGACTCTCAAATGCTTATGCCACAAAATTGTCATTTGTCTCTTAAAGTGCTACTGGACCTGAATCTAGCTCTCTCCTACTGCAGATCAATGCGGCTACCCTGCCAAAACTGGTTACAGGAAGATGGCCGGCTATGTTAATTATTTATTTATTTAGAAAATGTAATTTTGGTTTATTTTTATTTTAATTATTAATCTTCCGTCTTTCTTCCCAATGGGGACCCAGAGTGGCTGACATCATTCTCCTCCCCTCCGCTTTACCCTCACAACAACCCTGTGAGGTCGGTTAAGCCGAGAGTGTGTGACTGGCCCAAGGTCACCCAGCAAGCCTACAGGGCACAAGTGAGGATTCAAACCAGGGTCTCCCGGACGATCCTAGCTGGCCACTTTAACCACTGCACCTTACTTATTTTACAGAGACTTGCTTGAGGCAGCTGCTAAAAGAAAACATGATAAAAGAATGAAACAAACAGCCTCAAAACCATTTAAATGAACAAACTATACAATAGAACTGGCATTAATCTTACCCCCACCCCCCTATTTTCTGCACAATCGTGTCTCTTGCAAACTTTAATCTGTATAACGGGAGCAGTTCTCTAGCTAGATCTCTTTGCTCAGATGCTGAGCAATGCAACTTGCACACACACACACACCCCAACAAATACAGGACAACTTACTCCTTAGCTACCTTTCACTGCAACTGCTTAGGGTTAGTTTCTTTCAGTGTTCCACTAAGCCAGGGGCTCAGCAGCCATTAGAGCCAAACTTCATCAAAATTCAGAGCAGAGTGTAACAGCTGGTGAAAGAAAGCCCATGTGCTTAGTAGAATACACACCATTATAATGTTACCAATAACTGATAAGTGGATTAAAAACCCGTCGAGTTTCTGCACCCCAAAACAGGTCGTTATGAACCCTTCATTAAAGTGGCATGCACAAGGTCTTATAATAAGCAAATAAATGTACAGAGGAATGCCCTCCACAAATTGTTTTAGTGGGCTGGCGTAAGTCTGCACATGGTGTGCGCTTGGATGACTAGTACCTCTGTCGGTTCCATTTCTGCAAAGCATGTCTAAGAAGCTCTTTAATCCTATCAGAATCTTTCCCTGCCATTCCCTTTAAAGGTAAAGGTTCCCTTGCTCGAAAGCCAGTCGAATCCGACTCTAGGGTTGCGGTGCTCATCTCCGTTTCAAAGCCGAAAAGCCAGCGCTGTCCGAAGACGTTTCCGTGGTCATGTGGCCGGCATGACTAAACACCAAGGTGCACGGAACGCTGTTACCTTCCCACCGAAGTGGTACCTATTTATCTACTTGCAATTTCTTGCTTTCGAACTGCTAGGTTGGCAGGAGCTGGGGCCAGAGACGGGAGCTCACTCCGTCATGCAGCAACTCAGATCTCGAACTGCTGAACTACTGACCTTCCACAGCCTGCAGTTCAGCATCTTAACCACTTGAGCCACTGCAGCTCCGCCATTCCCTTTACATACCAGTTATCCTCTACGTGCGTGTAAAGAGCTGTCAAGTCACAGTCGACTTATGGCAACCCCCAGCAAGGGGCTTTGAAGGCAACCAATTAAGCAGAGGCGGTTTGCCATTGCCTTCCTCTGCAGAGTCTTCCTTGGTGGTCTCTTGTTGGGTGATAGTGAGATTTTGAAAAAATTGTATTTAGCAGAGATAAGATAGTCCAGCAGT